TATATTTTGAGTGTTTGTATTATGAAAATGAATTGTAGTGTTATATATAGATATTGGTAAATAGCCGTTGCAATATAGTCGTTAAGTAGCCGTTGGAACCAAATTTAATGACATAATATTTGCTAATTAATCATTTGTGATCATAAAATTCTAATTAATCATGTATATTACCTTAAAAAAATTTCGAATTATTTGATGAACATTTTCGCGAATATAACAAAACAAGTAAAAAAAATGCTCCACATTATTTGATAAATTTTATGGCAAGTACAAGAATAAACAGTTATAAATTTCACGCCACATTACTGGGTAAACCATTTTTATGGGTGTTAAGTATAAATAATAACATTTATTACAACTTGAAAAATAATTCATAAGCAAATTTAATAATATCATATCACCACATATTATTGGCTATGGCATAGCCTAATTTGCCAATAATAATGGTAATGTGTATATAATATGATATTTAGTATACATATCTTGACTGTGGCAGAGCCTAACTTGTCAAGAATAATAGTAATATATATATATTTTTGACTGTGGCAGAGCCTAACTTGTCAAAAATAATAGCAATATGTATATATATTCTTGACTGTGGCAGAGCCTAACTTGTCAAGAATAATAGTAATATGTATATATATCCTACCTTTCTTGACCGGGTAAAGCATTCATGCTGATAACGTGTTATGAAATACGAGGAATATAAAGAACACAATGTATAAAAACCGGATATAAACTGTAACAGTCTTTCTTTCTTTCTTTCACTTCACTTTCGTACAACAAATACACAACATATCTTGCCTTTTATAGGCAAAGTGGCACGTACTTCTATACAATAATGAAGAGATAATATTTATTAGTGGTAAATCCACTTATCATAACATACTTCTTCTTATTTTTATTAGAATATTGACTTGAGAGTCCTTAATAAGAAATTGTTTGAAGAAGATAGATTTCCTTAATAAGAAATTGTTTGAAGAAGATAGATTATTATTACTGTTTTTATCATTTAGTTATATGTAGCTAAATATTTATTTCGGTTCTAGGGACGTTGAACCCTCGATTGCTAGGTTCGATTAATGTAATTTATTTCGTTTTACTTGTCGTGTAAAATTATTTATGTTATCTAGTTTCATATCATCATGTGTGATTTTTAATTTAGCTTGATCACTTAAGTTAGATATTGCATGTTAATTGCTAGAATTATGACTTTGATCCGTAATTGTCGTCGTTCTTAATTTGTTGGTAGAAACTAACAGTCGTGCATTGTTATAGATAACACAACATAAATTACATGAACCGAGATTGTATGTTTGTGGCTTAGATCGGTCTATTTTCCCAGATTTTAATGCAACGAGTGAAATAAATTAGGAGAGCTTATTCCCAGTTATTTGCTACTAAGAATTAATTGAAGAGCCTATTTTGATTAAATAGAATTAAGGGAAAATTCGGGTAGTAGAGTTTATGGAAAACTCGGGTAGTAGAGTTTATTGCTATCAAGGACTGGTAGTTTTAGAAGACGAGTGACATTTGATAAATGCGTTAATTGGACTAGTTAATCGAGGGTGTAGAGACCTGGCACCGATTTCATTCGCATATTCATTAGATTATTTGTTATTTTTTATTTCATTATCATTTGCACTTCAATCATTCATTTCCTGTTTGTGTTATTTCTTGTTCAGATAGTAATTTCATTTTAAATCAAAATCTCCTCTCTTTAGATTCATCTAATTAATATAGTAAAACTACGATTCTTACAACACTTCCTGTGGGATCGACCCTTGCTCGCCACTTCTAGTAGTTAGTAGGGGTAAGTCGAGCAAAATTTATAAATTCAAATTTGCCGTGTAACGACACGCGATCAATTTTGGCACCATTTCCGGGGAGTAGTGCGATATAAATAATGATTTTATTTGTGTTAGTTAGCTTATTTGGTGTGAATTTTTGTTTTTTCGGTTGCATTTTTTTTGTGAATTTTCGTTGTTATTATGTTATTGCTCCTTTGATACCAGAAAAGACTAAGGTTTTTACGTCAAATTATTTCTGAATTTCGTCACGTTTGAGCTAAAATGGTCTTGATTTTCAGGTGAATTAAAACTAGGTCTTAAAGAGTTGAATACTTTGAATATTTTCGGCAAGGGTATCCAGTTTGAAATTGAAATTGAAAACATAACGGATGGAAGTGAGAGCGATCAGAGCCAAGAAGACACAAATATCATCACCGATAACGTGGTAATGGCAATCGAGGAGCGTACTTCGAGGCAACTAGCTAATGTCGTACTTCCACAACAACCTCTTTGCATAACTTTCCTGGAGATGAATGATACCACGTTCGAGTTGAAGTCTGGGCTGATTCATTTGTTACCCTCATTCTATGTTCTTGTTGGCGAGGATCCACACAAACATCTGAAGGAGTTTCACACGGTGTGCTCCAGCATGAAACCCACCAAGATGACCGAGGAGCAAGTCAAGCAATGTGCTTTTTCATTTTTTCTCAAGGATGTTGCGAAGGACTGGCTGTATTATTGGCCCTCGGGATCGATCACTACATGGGTAGAATTTGAGAAGATCTTTTTCTAGAGGTACTTTCCGTCGATACGAGTCACCGCTCTTCGCAAAGAAATTTGTGGGGTGCAACAACTGCAAGGGGAGATATTGTATGAGTACTGGAAAAGTTTCAAGAGGCTAGTCGCGAGTTGTCCACAACACTAGATGGCAGACCTGCTATTGATCCAATACTTTTATGAGGGCCTTTCATTCATGGAGTGGAATATGCTACATGCAACTAGCGATGGTGCACAGTGCCGGCTCTAGGGGGGCAGCCAGGGCACCGGCCGGGGGCCCATGGATGGGGGGGCCCAAGATTATATAAGTATGTAGTGTATATATATAATCTTGTATAGTATTTGGTATAGTGTAGAGTGAATATTTTGAGGGTATTTTGGTAAAAAGAAGTTTGCTCTCTTTAGGCTATAAAGATTTCTCCCAAATTAATTTCACGCCCCGAACCCTAACAGCGTCGCCGCGTGAGTCACGCCAAGGCATATCAAGGATTTCTACACGCCACGGTAAGCAGTTTGCTCTCTCTAGGCTATAGAGATTTTTCCCAAATTAATTTCACGGATTATGAATTCTAATTCAATGTTTTAATTTGAATATCATATCATAGATGTTACCTACCAAGCATTTGTCGGGTGCTCAGAAAAGAAAAAAAAGAAAGCAACTTGATCAGGCCGCAGAGTCGCAGATGGGTGCTCTACATAGGTTTTTGTCCGTTTCAAGTAATGCTGAAGTCGGTCAAGATCAGGGGCATCAACATGTTGCAGACGTCGATGCCAATAACGAGCAGAATTTAGATGCTGAAGCTAATGCCAATGATGATACTCAGGCTCCGGGAGATGATAATCAGGCTCCAGAAGATGATGTTGAAGATCAGGGGCATCAACAAGAAGATGAGATGTCGACTATTTTTGATCCTAGAACATGGGAATGTCTTGACAATAGGAAAAAAGACATCTTAATTGAGAAAGGGCCTGTGCGAGAACTGAATCTACAATTCCCAAAAGATTCTACTGCCAGACATTTATCTTATGCTTACTATTCCAGAAATTTATCTAATGGTGAGATTGTTGACAGAAAGTGGTTGGTTTATTCTAAACATGTGGACAAGGTTTATTGTTTTTGCTGCAAGTTATTTAAATCAAATCAGAACAAGTCTCATTTAGCATCCGATGGAGTCAGGGATTGGAAGCATCTCAGTGAGAAACTGAAATCACATGAGAACAGTGAGGAGCACTTGACATGCATGAGTACATGGAACGAGCTTCGACTTAGATTAAGCAAAAATAAAACAATTGATGATGAGATGCAACGGGAAATTGCAAAGGAAAAGGAGCGTTGAAGGCAAGTCTTGGTAAGAATAGTCTCTATTGTGAAGTTTCTTGCTAAGCAAAATCTAGCATTTCGAGGAGCAAATGAAAAAATATATCAACGTAAGAATGGTAATTTTCTAGCCACGGTTGAAATGATTGCTGAATTTGATCCTGTGATGCAAGAACATATTAGGCGCATTCAAAGTGCAGAAATTCATCATCATTATCTTGGCCATAATATCTAGAATGAGTTAATTCAAGTTCTTGTTGATGCTATGAAAAATCATATCTTAAAGATTGTCAAAGATGCCAAGTATTTTTCCATTATTTTGGATTGTACCCTAGATTTGAGCCATGAAGAACAAATGACACTAATTATACGTTGTGTTAATATGTCAAGAACCATTCCAAGAGTTGAGGAATTTTTCTTTGAGTTCTTACGGGTTGATGACACCTCTGGATTGGGGCTTTTTAATGTTTTATTGGATGCACTGCGGTCTCTTGGTTTGAACATTGATGATGTGAGAGGCCAAGGTTATGACAATGGTTCGAACATGAAGGGGAAACATCAAGGTGTATAGACACGTGTGCTTGAAATTAATCCAAGAGCATTATATATGTCGTGTGCATGTCATAGTTTGAATCTCACTCTTTGTGACATGGCAAACTCTTGCACAACAGCTGTTACATTCTTTGGTGTTATACAACAGATATACTGTCTGTTTGCACGCTCTACTAAAAGGTGGAAAATTTTGAAGGATAATGTTGAGAGGTTTACTGTCAAACCCTTGTCTGATACTCGTTGGGAGAGTCGAGTAAAGAGTGTGCAGCCTATCAGGTATCAAACCCCGCAAATAATATCAGCTTTGAAGGAACTAGAAAGAGTTGCTAAAGATGAACATGACTCCAAAACAGTAAGTGATGCTCAATCATTGGTAACTGCACTTCATAAATTTGAATTTATAATTGGCAAGGTTATCTGGGATGATATTTTTTCTACTATCAACATGGTGAGCAAAAAGTTACAATCTAAGATTGTGTGCTTAGATGCGATTCTCAAACAAATTAAAGGGGTCATCACATATTTCCAGAAGTATAGAGAAGATGGCTTCGATGCTAGCATTGAGACTGCAAAATCCATTGCATCTAGTATAGGCATAGAGCCAAATTTTCCTACAAAACGTCAAGCTAAAAGAAAGAAGCATTTTGATGAAGAAGATGATGAAAGTGAAGAATTACAACGTTCAGCTATTGAAACCTTTAAACATGAGTATTTCCTAGTTGTTGTGGATACTGCAATTGCTTCATTGACTAGTCGATTTGAGAAGCTAAAGGAATTTGAGGAAATATTTGGTTTCTTATTCAACTCAGAAAATCTGAAATCCTTGGATGATAATGATCTACGAAAGTGTTGCACTACTTTTGTAAAGAAATTTTCTCATGACAATAAGTCTGATGTAGAGTTGGAAGATTTTTTTCTCTGAACTAAAAGTGCTACGAAGTTCTTTGCCAGAAGAATTGATGTCAACAGTTGAGATTCTTCAGTTTGTTAATGCTGCAGAATGCTATCCAAATGTCTCCATTGCATATCGAATTTTGTTAACCATTTCAGTGACAGTAGCATCAGCCGAAAGAAGTTTCTCCAAATTGAAACTTTTGAAAAATTATTTGAGGTCCACTATGTCACAAGAAAGGTTGAATAGTTTAGCTATGTGCGCCATTGAGAAGGATATATTGGACGACATTAATCTTGATGCTGTTATTGAAGATTTTGCATCAAGAAATGCCCATAGACGGTTTTTATCAATGAACTAAACCACTACATCTTATTTGAGGTAATTATAATAGTTGCTATTTTTTAGTTTTTTATTACAGCATTATTATGTTTCATGGTCTAAACATGTACCGCAAAGAATTTTTATTTGAATACTATATATATATATGTGAATATTACTTCAATGGGCCCATATTTCTTGCTTGTCCATAGGCCCTTCAAATTACAGAGCCGGCGCTGATCTCAAATACCCAAACAAAAACCAACATAAATAGTTTAGTAACAAATACATATATATATATATATATATATATATGTATATGTATATATATATCTACCTTCTTATATAATAAGAAAACTGGAGGGTGTGTCTCTGCTTGACATGTGGGTCGCTTTGTCGTGCGTTTATCGACCATTGGGATCAATATTGTAATTAAATAGTGATAGAATTTTATGGCTGCTTCTACCATCAAATTGTCAATTGCTACGAAGTAGGTACCAGTGGAAAAGGCCCTCTCACTCTCATCTAAACCCAATCTACCAAAACATATTTTGTACAAAATCTGAAAACCTTCGAAGATCTCTCTTTTTTAGGGTCCTCCCAACCCCCTTGTGCACCACATAGGAGGCGATATCCTCGCCATCGACGGTGCTATAAAGTTGTGTTCCGACATCCCCGCTCTCGCGCTAGCTGCAGTGAAATTCCTAGAGATCCGACCAGCTGACATGAGGAGATCCGACGACTAAGAGCAAACACCAGGTCGTCAGCGGCGGCCAACCAGTTGTCCGGGCGGTCTTTTTAGTTTGATCTGGAGAAGTAGCTTTTGGATGTTTCCATAAGATTCAGAGGTCGATTTGGGCGTTCTGAATGTTTCGAGTGTGCTCTTATTCATTATTTGCTAAGTTGATTGTGTCTATTTTATTTTATTTGTTTTTGCTAGGCATGAGTTTGTTAGGAACGATACATGAAAGTGTATATGGTTTTGATCTGCCTTTATAAATGCTTCAAAAGGACGTGGTTGAAATCTTTAACTATTTAAGACACCTGGGATAGTAATATCAGTGCTGAAACATGCATTTTTGTGAATAACAGTTAGAAACTTTGTTGACCCATTTGGTAGTTTTATAGCAGACTATGATCGTTGTTATTTACTGCCTTCATTTGAAGGAAAGACAAAAGGGTTTATTCCTCTGAAGTCAGATTTTCATAAAGATTCTATTTTTGTGAACTGGAGGTTTGCTGAGGATCATGTTCTCTTTCCATAAATGGAAGTGCTTATGGTCCTTAGCTTCTTCTATTGCTTCATTTTGGCTATGGTATTTATTATTCATATGTTTGTTTACCCAGTTGTGCCGCCTTTGGACTATTTTGGATACAAGCAGTCACAAAGTTCTTGCCTTGGTTCAGATGAAGAAACCCAAAAAAGTTCTAAAGAAGACCCTTGGTCGATGGTTGACTTTAATGTTCGATATCTGGCCGACTTACACGATGTTGTGGCTTACAATGATGCTCCATGAAAGGCTGAGATCGGGCGTGGTTGTCTGGATGCGGCGCAAATATGTGTTGAAATTGTTGAGGTGCTAACTTTTTTGTGATCACTTTAATAAAATAGGACATTTTGGTTGACTGGTGCAATTGGATCTCAGCTTGTTTTTTCACATGAAAAATGTGATGTTTGTTTTGATTTGTTCATTTTGAAGATTTATCTAATAGTATGTGAACGGATACCTGAATATTGGAGCAAGAGCTGCAAAAATGAATGCAGTGGTCAAGGCATTTGTAATCGTGACTTGGGTCGATGTCGTTGTTTTATGGATTCAGTTGTGTCTTTCTTGTTCTTATTTGACTTTTGGTCTTTGTTTAAGTTATATTACTTGTTCATAAGCATACACAAAATTAGTTTCAGATGAATTTAACAATTAGAGTTAAGTATAGTCTCAGCTTTACTGTCAAATTATCAATGAAAATGACGTGATAGGTAGCGAACTCTGATGCGAAAAGTAATATAAGTTTCCTAAGAAAAGATAATTTCTCTTTTGTAACTTGAATTTTTCTACTGCTAAACCAAATCGGTCCAAGAAGTCTCTAAGATTTTTTTTTTTTTCAGAATTTTTCTTATTATGCTTCACATCATCTTCTTTTGAAATGAGGCCTACTTCTTCTTACTATTATTTATATTTTTCAATTCAATTTGCGTCAATTTGTATGCTTGGAGACAAGGGACTAATGTTTGGAAAGACTGCAGTTGAACTTCAATTATTCTGCCTGAAAAAGAATCGTACGGCCCCTAGGTCATTTACATTTGTTCTGCTCACTGTGATACGTCCCGAGCCATGTGCTTTTGTGGAGAAGGTACAAAACACCCAAATGGCCCTGTAGCCGAGGCATGTGGATCTAAGATAAAGTAAGCAAGCTTCATGTGTAAATTACCTCAATCCCCTTCATTTACAAATTACAAGCTTACAACTTACCACTAATATTGCTGATTTTTTGCAGTTCTCCTCATTATTATATCAGTTACTTGCGAAAGAACAATTAGTGGTTCACAACCTAGATGACAATAAACACCTCATCCGAACGGTTGTAGTGTCAATGGTACAGTTGGTATTGACTGATTAATTGCACTAGTACATTTATGTATTGAACAGGATCCCAGAGAGGAAAAGTTCATTTATACTGATCGTCGTAAACAAACTAGGCCTCGGTTAATTATTGCGTTCTCTTAACCCGTAAGATATTAAACAGACATATATATGCAGTATATATTACTTTGATTCACTTGGGTGAGGTTCGGTTCGGTTCGTTGGATTAATATTCTTACTATCTTGGGTAATATTGTTGCATGTATGATGTGTTGTCAGAATATTTACGATCACCGTGTACGTTTAATTTGATGATATCCCAGAAGTGAGTTCATTAATGATTATTTTGCTAAACCCTGCAGGTGGATTAAATTCCGGCATAGTAATAATGTGATGAACGAGTGCTAGCTTCGGTGAAATAAATAATATATTTATTAATTTTTGGTTATCAGAAATTGAAATAATTAATGGACATTATATCTTAAATATGCGGAGGTGATTCGGGTAATTATATTAGAGTCTCAATTGTATATTAGGCTAGGAAAAGTGAGTGCAATAATATTATGTTAGTAGAACATAATATTATTTAAGTAATTGTAGGAGTTGGTCAGGCCCACAGTTAGTCTATTACTTAAGAAGCACTATTACTATTCTTCTAAGGGTCTCTATTGTAGCCCTATATATACATCGTTAGGCTCATGGAAAAGAGAAGAAGAGATAAAAATTCTCCTACATGATATTTTTGTTGGGTTCGATATACTGTACGGAACAGAGTTTGCAGCGGAATTTAACATTTTATAAGTATTTATCTTATAAATACTTATTCCGTACATAAGTATAACGAGATAACAAATAAGCATCATTTAAAATCTAATAACTTTTACTAATTTTGATTTGA